ACACATTTGGTCTTGTCATTACGAGAAAATGAACTTTGCATCAGCTTCAGGGGTCATGCAGAACTTGATCTGCTGATGGGCTCTTCAGGATCTTTCATTTGTGTTTTTTTCAGGCCTCTACTGTTTGGAGAGTACTCAAACATACCACATCGCTGTATCAAAGAATTTTCAGTTTAATCTAATTAAACACTCTATGGTTGCACAAATAGATGCAGAGAGGTGAAATTCATTTTCTAATTCTAAAAGCTCTTTGGTAGTTATCAGAATCCAACAAGAAACAGTAGGATAATTTGAAGTGAGTTTATTTATAAAAAGACTAATTGCATGGTGTGGATGGGGTAGAAGGAAGCTTCAGGGGACTCTGCCGGAACTTGGGGCCAGCAGGTTCACAGCTGTCCTCCTGCTTAGGTGCCAGAGAAGGCAAAGGATGGTTCTGAAACTGCAGGAAAATCAGTCCTGCAGGATCTGCCACCTTGAGAAAATTGCCTTTCTGTTGAAGAACACAGTCAGCTTGTGGTGACTGACAGAGGGAGCCAGGCAGAGGGAGGTCCTCTTGTCAGTCCCCTGCCTGAACTCAGACTCAGCTAGTAAGCAGCAAGGAAGGAAGCCATTGACCTAATTCATGCACATTCGCCTGCTGAGACAGATTCAGGTGGATATGAATGGAGAATGGGTCTAGAGGGAAAAACTCAAGAACAGAGGGCAAAGTCAGGATTTGAATGGTATTCTTGCTGCTGCTACACAATTCCACCACACATTAAAATGCTTGCTTACTTTTACAGACCTTACAGATGTAGAAATAACACATGGCCTGCGATGATGTTGTCTTCCTCTAGTGTAAGTTTTGCTTGTTTTTACTTCTGAAATTTCCTTAATCCTTATTCAGGGTTGAGACTGAATAGGTAACTCAGAAATCTAGAGGCAAAGTTGCTGCCTACATCATCTTACCTAACATTCCCTCCTACTTCTACAGTATATCATTCTTTCTTTCTTCAAGATGTCAATAATTCATTTTAGCCTCTCAGGTGCCTAAGTTATATTCCTGGTTTTTCTTCCAGAATCTTGTCAGATAGCTTCCTATTATGTCATTAGCTCTCGGATAGATATAGATATATATATATATATATACACATACACACATATATATATAATATATATACTTAAAATTTTGTGCAGCATTCTTAGTCTTTGTCAATGAGAGGATTGATCAGAATGTTCTAGTCTGTCATAGTCAGAGGTAGAAATCTCTCCCTCATTTTTCTCCATCTCCTTGTGGGAAAACTCTTTTGCCCTACCTGCAGGTGTTCTTAGAGGCATCTCAAGGTCCATCTCCAAGAGGAAGTGGGATGCACCCTGCTCAGAAAATTTCAGATCTGAGGTCATGCCTCTCTAAAGAATAAAGATGTCAGAGAATCTAATGACAATTCTATCATTTAACCTTGTCAAAAGCCATTAGAGAAATCTGCTATTTGTGGTAAGATCCTCACTGCTTCCTTGTGTTCCTTGTTTCTGGCCAATGTGGAATGAGATTGTAACTTTTCAATGAGAAGTATCTCCAAGGTCCTTCACATTTATTAAGTTAATATGACCAGAGAACATTATATATGGTTCATATTATTTTAGATTTATTCCAAAATTCCTTCGTTAAATTGGTATTTAATGTTATATTTTTGGCTTTTGAAATATCTGAACTAAAACTGCAGACACATATAAATTTTTAATAAATCAATATTCAATTACATTGCTTTGTTCAATATCCCCTGCATCAGATTATATGTAATCAGTTCTTTATAGAATTCAATGCCAGGAAAAAATGTGAGTCCTTATATAAATATATATAATTTCACATGTATTCTCTTCACATTGGCAGCCAAAACAAACAAATTTAGCAATCAATAAATTTATCAATTTATCTCATGTGCTAGATATTACTTTTATTGACTTCCTTGTTTTTTAATTTAAAAGTATATTTACCTTGTTTTGTTTACAGCCTTCAATAGCCTTTTTGGAATTAAACAGTATAGTGTATTGCCACTTATCTGAGAATACAAAGAAAGAGGTAAATTTGTCACACACACACACAAAAACAACAGCTAGCTAGAAGACCTTTGCTCATTCCAGAGCAACTGAAATTTGCCTCTTCAAGAATAAACCTGGAAGTCCAAGATAGGCAGTAATCTTGCTCATGTCTACCACTATCATGTAAGATGTGCTTTGGAATTAGAAAAAGGTGTTCCTTCTATTTAGAAAAATTGCAAAAATGTACATCTAATCAGGAAAAAGCGTTCATTCCTCCTGACAGTGTGGCCAGCTGAGGGCAGGCTGGGTATCATCACTACACTTGGCTCCACCTGGTACTCCTACCTATTGACATACCCAGGATTGAACCAGATGAACGTGTGCATGTTCTCCGGCTTATCAGCTATAAAAATGGACAGGTCATAGGGTTCTGTTCAAATGCTCTTCCGTGCCATGTCAGAATGAGCTAAACATCATGATTAGATTGAGGGAGACTCTCAGGACCAGTAACTAGGAGCAGCATTTCAGCACTGCACTGGAGTCTGGGTGCTTGAAATCAACAAACTTTAAAATAGTTGAATTGATTTAAACTAAAAGAAAAGCCAGCCAAGCAAAACAAAGAAACAAAAAACAAAAGTTGAACATTAAAAGTGTCTCTGAAAAGATCTGGAAGAGAAGGAAAGGTGAGGCAGTCTTTAAGAGTACAGTTTTTGGGGGGGCCGGTGCTATGGCATTGTGACCCTTCTGATCCGGCTCTCTGCTATGGCCTGGGAAAACAGTTGAAGATGACCCAAGTGTCTGGGCCCCTGCACCCAGTGGGAGACCCCGAAGGATCTCCTGGCTCTTGGCTTTGGATTGACCCAGCTCTGGCCATTGCAGTCATTTGAGGAGTGAACCAGTGGATAGAAAACTTATCTGTGTCTCTCTCTGTCTGTAACTCTACCTCTCAAATAAATCTTAAAAAAAAGAGTATGGTTTTTAAAAAATAGTTTTATACATTAGATTGTACTTTGTGTAGCAAAATGCTACTTGAGAAATTAGGCATCTTGGTTTTACAGACATAATCCTTATGGATTTCCAGTGTTCAGCGTTCTTGGCCAGGTTGGGTGGAGGATTCTGTACTTTGGTTCGGAAGTTGTTGAAAGTATCAGAATTATCTCTTAGTAGCCCATCAACTTGTGCCTCGGTATGATCACTGATTCGCTGTAGTATGATCATTACTTCACATGAAGAATATTAAGTTTCCTTAAATTTGCTTCTATCCTTTTATATACACACATTTTTTCCCAGTGTGCATTTTCCATGAAGTTTTTGAAGCTTCCTTGTGGGATCTTTCAAAGTTTCGCACCAAAAATAAACTTTTAAAAAAATTATCCATCCATGTATGTATCATCTGTTTCCGCAGTTACACAGAGAAAGAGGGAACTCTTCCATGGGCTGGTTCACTCCCCAAATGGCCACAATAGCCCTAGGCTGGGCCAGGCTAAAGCCAGGAGCAGGAGCTCCATCCGGGACCCCTACGTGGGTGCAGGGACCTAAGAACTTGGGGAATCCTTAGCTGCTTTTCCAGGCACACTAGCAGGGAGCTGAATCGGAAGTGGAGCAGGAGGGACTCCAGTGGGCGCCCCCACGAGACTCCTGGCGACACAGGCTGCGGCTTAACTCGCTGTACCAAAGCGCCAGGCCCCAAAATAAACCTCTTTTAATTCCGCTTTTTTCAAGAACCTCTACAAGTACCCTCCTAAAAGACCTCGTCTTCTATCTTAAGTATATGATGCACGTGGGCGAAAATTTAAGGCCCTTGAACGTGTGTGCTACATCGCTCAGAAGTGGAGGTAATCAATCGCTCATCAAGAGTAACCGCACAGGCTCCGCGGAATTTTCCAATGAACTTCCGGGGGCGCCCTAGCCGCAAACCGGCCGCGCTCCAGCCTAGGCCGGGCCCCCCGCCGAGCGCCACGTGCGCCTCCCGCCGACGCCCGGGTCCCTCCAGCGCCCCGCGTGGCCCCCGCTCACGCAGCCGGGCGCGCCGGCGAGGAGCCAGAGGGGGGCGCCGTGGCCGCGGGGAACGCAGCCAATGGCTCCCAGCTGGCTCCGCGGACTTTTTTGCGCCATCCAGTAGTCGCGCGCGGTTTTGCCCGCTCCGCGTCCTCTTAGTTGGGGGCCGGCGGCGTGGCGTGGCGTGGCGTGGCGGCTGGGAACCCTTAGAGCACGCGTTACGCTCGTGGCAGGGCTGAGGTCCCTGAGCCGCGGAGCGGTCGGTTCCGTCCCGGTTCGGGCTTCCCAGCAGCGCCCTCCCCGCGGGGCGGGCCCTGACTCGGTGCCGCGACGAGTGGGCGGCTTGAAGTGGGTGGCCAGGATAGGCGCGCGGCTGCGAGGAGCGGCGAGGCTCCAGTGAGGAGCCGGGCGCTGGGACCGCGGCCGCGGCGTTCGGAGAAGCGCCGAGGCCGGCGAAGGGGCGCTGCCGCCGAGCGGGGAGGCGGGTCCTTTCGGTTGCAGCTCGTGCGGTTCCGGGACGCGCGCGGCCCTGGGAGCCTGCCCGCCCGTCAGGTGCTCGCCAGGTAGCTCCCCACCCAAAGGACTCCCTCTCCGACCCCTCCCTGAGCGCCTCGCACGGAAGGAGCGGGCCGCGCTCCGGCTGCGAGGGCGCGCGGCACCCCGAGCGCGGCGCCCTTGAGCCACAGCGCGGCGCAGGTTTGCCACCGACTCGCCCGCCCGCCCGCCGGGAGAAGGAAGCGCTGTCCCTTCCCGCTCACCCCGGGTCCCCACCCCTTGTACTCTAAACCCTGCGGCGGGCGAGCGGCGCGGCCACGGAGGCGCCGAGGAGGGGCGAGCCGCCGCCGGGCAGCGGCGGGCCCTCAGGCGAGAGGGCGCCGGAGAGGAGGCGGCGGCGCGGCGGCGAGGGCGCGGCGCGCGATGGCAGCTGCCTAGTCTTGCGGGCGCGGAGCAGCTCCGAGCTGTGGCTGGCCCGACGGTACGGCTGGACGGGCGACGCCGCCGCAGCCCGGCCGGGAGAGATGAGCGCCGACGCCGGCGAGGGCATCACTTTCTCCGTGCCGCCCTTCGCCGCCTCGGGCTTCGGCTCCTTCCCTGAGGGCGGCAGCTGCCGGAGGAGGAGCCGCGGCGGTGGCCGAGAGCGAGGAGAAGCCAATTCCGCCGCCGCCGGCAGGCAGCTTCTGGAACGTGGAGAGCGCCGGCGCCCCGGGCAGCGCCGCGTGTCCCGCAGCCGCCCCCGGGAGCGGCGCCTCGCGGTGCCGCGGCAGCTCTGGGAGCGTGGCCGGCCGGCGGACCACGGTGGCGTACGTGATCAACGAAGCGAGCCAGGGGCAGCTGGTGGTGGCGGAGAGCGAGGCCCTGCAGAGCCTGCGGGAGGCGTGCGAGGCGGTGGGCGCCACCCTGGAGACGCTGCATTTTGGCAAACTGGACTTCGGGGAGACGGCGGTGCTGGACCGGTTTTACAATGCAGGTGCGTGTGTGTCAGCCTTCGCGCACCCTCGGCGGTCGGGGGCCACGGCGTCCCTGGTCGTCTCGGGGGTGTGTGTGTGTGTGTGTGTGTGTGTGTTGGAGGGGGGTGATTTTTAATTTTTTTTTTTTTCTGGGCAGGAAGCATGCTCCCTCCTAACTTCTAGCTGCACCTTGGGCGGCGTGACTGCGCCTTGGCGTTCGCGTTGGTGCGGGGACCTGCGCGGGGTCCGCCCGCCGCTGTGATGGCTTTGAAGGACCTCGGTTCTTCAGCCCCGGGAGGGACTCGCCGCGCGCGGTCCTTGTGCGTTCCTCTCAGCGTCTCGGTTTCACTTCTCTGGGGTTTGGTTTGTTTTTCTACTGCACGGACCTGTGGCTGTTCGGTGCTCCGTGTCGTGTTGGGGCTTGGGCCACCCAGCCAGCTGCACACGTGTGTGGTTGTCTGTACCTTCAGTGGCTTCAGTTTCCCGTCCCGTACCAACTTGAACTTTCCAGTAATTACTTCTGAAAACAACAGCATTTCAACTTGCACTAAATAATTTTGATATCTTTGTTAGGATCTCGGTCAAAGAGCCCGTTTTATATACTTCGGTGGGCTGGAAAGTTTATAATTTAACATTGCTTCAAACGCTGGTACGCTGTCTTAATGACTAAGATGAGCTTGCCCACTGAAGGGACTGCCAACATGATCCATGAAAGAAAAATGTATCTTTTCAACCTATCACAGATTTCAGAAAGTGCTAAGCAGTTCCAGTAACTGAAGCAATTAGCTATTAACAAATGTTGGGAATGATAATGCGTTCTTGGAGTTAATTGTTAGTACCGTGTAATCCAGCGTTGAATATATACGAGTACACGTTTATTTTTGTAATTGTGGGTGAAAAAGTTGCGTTCATGATTGCAAAACAGTGAGCTGCTTGCATCTGAGATCACATGCAAGGTTTTATATTCAAATCTTTGTTTTAAGATTCTCTTCAGTCTTTCCAAAACACCTGAAGTAGGCTTAGGTCAGTTTTGGGATTTAGCCAAAGCTGAATATTTTAAGAAGAACTTCGTGTTAAGGAAGTCGGACTAAATATAACTCGGACTTTCTGATTCTGTTTTTTTTTTTTTTAATTTTTTTACAGTCTTGGTCTTTATAACTGAATGTGAATACAGAACAGCTTGGTTCTTTGGGTGGCTTGCTATAAAAATTATGCAAACATAACTTTTCTAAACATTACGACGACACTCACCCACTCACCTTTGGATTATAAAGTGAATGAAATGTCAATGAATCGAAAGATTTGAGGGGAAAATGGCCGTCTAAATACTTGAGTCTCTTTCTTGAGCTGATAAATTGGGTATTTTCCCCCTAGGGCTCTAGAAAAAATTATCTTAATCTCTAATGTGAAAGAAACTTCACTCACAAGGCTTGCGTTCTGTGCTGCTCCGAATACTGCTGCCGGGAAGGGAGAGGGAAAGATTCGAGCGAGCTCTATCTGGTTTACTTCTCCAAGCTGGCCTGTGAAGGGAGAACTTACCGTCCTTGCTAGGGTAGAAAACCCAGGGGCCTATAACTGGTTCTGGTGTTCATGGGCAGGAAGTGGTCAGTGCAGGATTCCACTTCAGGTGGCTGACCCTGAAAAGTCGTGCTTGGCTCTTGCTGCCTCCAGTTAATTTTTAAAGATTAATTTATTTACTTATTTGATCTGAAAGGCAAGGTGCGGGGGTGGAGGGGAGGTGGCGGGGCAGATCGTCTATCCACTGGTTTACTCCACAGATGCCTGCAACAGCTAGAGCAGGAACCAGGAACTCAATGCAAGTCTTCCACTAGGGTGACAGGAACCCAACTGCCAGAGCCATCACCTGCTGCCCTGCAGGGTCCCCGTTAACAGGAAGCTGGAATTGAGAAAAGAGCTGGCATTCAAACCTAGGCACTTTGATGCGGGATGTGGGCTTCCCAAGCAGTGCCCTAGTTACTATGCCAGGCACCTGCCCTGTTGCTGCCTCCAGTTGGAAGGGCTGATTCACTGTGAGAATCAAGGGAAGCTGCCCATCTTGCAAGCAGGTGCTGGTGCAGGGTGGAATAGAGGGGTGGCTCAGGGTGTTCTTGGGAAGACCCTGGACTGGGGCCAGCTGTGTATCACCCACTGCATTTTGCAACCTGGGGAAGCCTCTTTAATTCCTGCACTTCTGGATGACATGGACTCTGCCTTCTCATTCAGCATTAAGATGTGATGGAATGGGGGCCGGTGCTGTAGCACAGTGGTTAAAAGCCCTGGCCTGCAGCACCAGCATCCTAAATGGATACCAGATCATGTCTTGGCTGCTCCTCTTCCAATCCAGCTCTCTGCTGTGGCCTGGGAAAGCAGTGGAAGATGAACTAAGTGCTTGGGTCCCTGCACCCAAGTGGGAGACCCAGAAGAATCTCCTGGCTTCGGATCAGCTCAAGCTGTGGTTGTTTGGGGAGTGAACCAGCGAATGGAAGATCTCTCTCGCTCTCGATCTCTCTCTCAATCTCTCTCTCTCTCTCTCTCTCTCTCTCTCTATCTCTTTCTCTGTAACTCTGCCTTTCAAATAAATAAAAATAAATCTTTAAAAAGATGTGATGGAATGAAGATGTGCTGTCTAAACCTTTTGTTTTTCTAAACAGAGTGCCATGGAGAAGTTAACTTTCTTCTGATGTCTGAGAGGGCTTATTCCTCCTCCAACAGAGACTGGCCAACTTTTTCTGTAAAGGAGCAGAGAGTAAATATTTGAGGCTTTGTTTTTTGAGCTGTTGCTCACCACTACTCAGCACTGCCATTCTTACTCCAAAGCAGCCATGAGCAATGCCTAAACAAATGATCATGGCTGCATTCCAATAAAACTTTATTAATGGATGTTGTAATTTGAGTTTCTTGCCTTTCTCAGAATATTATTTTGATTTTTTTCAACCATTTTAAAATGTAAGAACCATTCTTAGCTTGCATTCTCAGCTCGCAGACAGGCAGCTGCAGGCCCCTGGGCCGTGCTGACCTTTTTCTGTCCACCCACTACCTGCCCATGATAGTTGAGTCATTGTGATGGAGTGGGAAGAACACTGACCCTCAAGTTAGAGCCGAGTTTTTGTCCCAGCTCTGCTGTGAATCGTGTAATTGCTAGAACGGCCCTTCCTCTCCTCCAGTGGTGATTCTTCGATTCCCGAGCAGTGGAAGTAGACGGGGATTGAACTAAATTTCAGATCCCCTTGTTGATTCTTGTGAATTTGCAAAGGACTGGGTAGCATGGTATGTGGGGACAGATCATTAGAGTCTGAAAGTGTGGTTTCAGGTCCTGGCTTTTCTCTTGATTGGGAGCAACCTATTCAAAATTCCCCAAAAGACAGGAGGGTTGGAATCATTGGGATCTGAGATTCCTTTTGGCTCTTAAATTCTGTGCTTTAAAATTTCAACATCATTACTACAAATAAACCATCTGTGTCCATAGAGATGAATGGACTGCTTGTGTATACCTAGTTTGTATCTTGGAGAGCTCAGAGTCGGGGTGGGGGAAGAGGGTGAACTCCATGATTAGCTGCAGTGGTGCCCCTGTGAGGGTCACTTGGAATGACCTGAGCTCCTAGAATTTAGCCTCTGGGATCATTGAGGGTAGGGTGGGCATAAGGGTAGATTCTCAAAGGAGGTGACACCTCAAGTGAAATAAAAGTGTAAGTAAGATGACCTCTCCATGGCCTCAATATTTAAGAGAGAAGCAGTCAGCCAGCGCCGTGGCTCACTAGGCTAATCCTTTGCCTGCGGCGCCGGCACACTGGGTTCTAGTCCAGGTCGGGGCGCCGGATTCTGTCCCGGTTGCCCTCTTCCAGGCCAGCTCTCTGCTGTGGCCCAAGTGCTTGGGCCCTGCACCCGCATGGGAGACCAGGAGAGGCACCTGGCTCCTCGCTTTGGATCAGTGGAGTGCTGCAGTGGCCATTGGAGGGTGACCCAACGGTAAAGGAAGACCTTCCTCTCTATCTCTCTCTCTCACTGTTCACCCTGCCTGTCAAAAACATAAAAAGGGAAGCAGTCACTTCTACTCCTTTCCCAGGCCACAGCAAAGAGCTGGATTGGAAGAAGAGCAGCCAGGACTAGAACTGGTGCCCATATGGGATGCTGACACTGCAAGCAGAGGATTAACCTACTTCACCGTGGAGCCAGTCCCTGCTCTACTTCTTTTTTTTTTTTTTTTTTTTTTTTGACAGGCAGAATGGACAGAGAGACAGAGAAAGGTCTTCCTTTGCCGTTGGTTCACCCTCCAATGGCCGCTGCACTGTGGCCAGTGCATCGCGCTTATCTGGAGCCAGGTGCTTCTCCTGGTCTCCCATGTGGGTGCAGGGCCCAAGCACTTGGGCCATTTTCCACTGCACTCCCGGGTCATAGCAGAGAGCTGGCCTGGAAGAGGGGCAACTGGGACAGAATCCGGCGCCCCGACCTGGACTAGAATCCAGTGTGCCGGTGCCGTAGGTGGAGGATTAGCCTATTGAGCCGCAGTGCCGGCCCTTGCTCTACTTCTGATTCAACTCTCTGCTAATGTGCCTGTGAAAGCAGTAGAAGATGGCTGAAGTGCTTGAACCCCTGCCACCCCTGTGGGAGACCCAGATTGGGTTCCTGACTTCTGGCTTTGGCCTGGCCAATCCCTAGCTATTGTGATTATTTGGGGAGTGAACTATCAGATGGAAGATGTGCCCCTGCCCCATCTCTCTCCTTGATGTCTCTCCCTATCTGTAACTCTGCTTTTCAAAAAAATAAAATCTTACAAAAGTTATATTTTGAGAAGCTGGCAGAGAAGAAGGGTAGGGGTGCTTTCTTCGTTAGTTCATACCCCGAATACCCAGAACTCAGGGAATGAAATTAGCAGTCAGGAACTCAACCCAGGTCTCCCACATGGGTGATGAACTCCCACTGCTGCTTCCCCAAGGTCTGCATGCTACCATCAAGAGCCAGAGCCAGGCCTTGAACTCAGGCCCTTTAAAGTGGGATGCGGGCATCTTATTGGTGTCTTTAA